GATGGTAGGAGATTCCTCTGAAAGAGCTCAGGATGTGCTGAAGAGGAATCAGATAGAGGAACCTTGGGATTCTCTTTGCTCTGGGACACCAGGTTGGAGAAATAGTCAACCTTTGCATCTCTGACTGCAGAGTTAAAGGAAGTCAGAAGATTCTTTAGATGCAGCAGATGGACATGGAGACGGGTTTTCTTCCACAAGCGCTTGTAACAACAACAAGCTACTGACCATCAACCTCTGTGACGGGTCAAACTGACCCGACATGTGCCTCTGCTTTTACCTGGAGCCGAGATGGCTGCTGAGACACACTCTCCTTCTGCAAGGACGGCAGAGGCTGGGTTCTGATAACCAGTTGTCAAGGACGCAGTGTGGGGAAGGAGGACAGCTGAACTGTTCATCTTATGATTTTAATAAAGAATGAGATCTGTTGATGAATTAATTAATATGATCAACTGCTGAATCAATTTGTGATCAAACTTGTAAATGATGTTTAATGGAGATGATGTGATAACGAATAATACACCACATATTGTTAAACACACAGCAGGCAAGAGCAGAGCTTCTCAAGGGCAAAGACGTCACGATCTGGGAATGCCCCGGGAAGGGGGGTCGTTCTACAAAACTACTGATAAGCGAGCTGAGAGTCAGTTCGTTGAGACTTCACAGGGCCTGTGAATTCCTCTTCGACAACATCAGAACTTTGGCACGCTGCCAGGTTCTGGACACTTGCAAGCAAGCTGAAAACACCAACTGAGTTCCACCATCAACCGTGGAACGGTTTGCTTAAACTTGAGCCAATCAGAGACTGATTTTGACCAGTGGACTTTAACCTCAAAGCCTCACGGATTGGGAGACCAGCTGGGAGCGACCGTGTTCCTCCATCGACCGGGGTCCGTCCAAGACACCCCCCAGGTGATTTAGGGCACTCATGATCACTTCTTGTTCCAAAGCGACACAGTAGACTAACCCAAAACATCATTTCTGTTTCAGACAGATGAACTAAGCCCTCAGCTAAGCTCTGCTCTCATGCACATTTTAGCTCATTAAACATCAGGGAATTGTTAACTGTGTGAGATTTTAAATTGTGATTTATAAATTAAATTCTTTTAAAATTGTTGAAGGTTGATCTTTATTCAAGCGAGTCTAAATACCTGAGAATAAAAAGTTCTTTAGGTCTTCTGAGAAAAATAAGCGTTGTCCGAATTAATATTCAATCAATATTAATCATTTCCAAAGGTTGTTAAAATAACATTCCTTATTTCACGTAAAGGGAGCATTCTCCACTTTAACACGCTCAATTTTTCTGCATTGGTGCTTTAGGCTGCAAAGGCTTTCATTAAATGATAATGATAAATGACCCGCGCTTGTATAGCACCTCTCAGAGTAAGGACTCCAATGCGCTTTACACTACAGTGTATCATTCATCCATTCACACACACATTCACACACTGATGGTGATGAGCTATGATGTAGCCACAGCTGCCATGGGGCGCACTGACAGAGGCGAGGCTGCCGAGCACAGGCGCCACCGGTCCCTCTAGGCGCCACCGGTCCCTCTGACCTCCACCAGCAGGCAAGGTGGGTTAAGTGTAGGAAGTAGGGTTCACTGCAGGAACTGATCTGGTTCTGACAGGACAGATGTTGTCCAGAATGGAAATGCAGTGCTTGTTAAACTGAGAAGTTAAGGAATCTGGGTCGTTATCAGAAGAACAGGGTGGATCAATAGCAGCAGAAAATTTGCTAGCTGTGCTCTCATTAAGAAAACGAGAACTAACCAGAAGGTGAGCAGGAGGTGGGGAAACTGACAAGTTAAAGATAACGCAATGGGGATCTGAAATATGAACATCCTCAGGACAAACACTACCAGCATGTAGACCCAAAGTAAAAACAAGGTCTAGAGTGTGTCCCTTGGTGTGTGTGGGGCCAGCAACATGCTGGGTAAAGCTGAAGGAGTCAGGAGGCTGGACAAGGTAATGAGAAAGTGGTCTGAGGCATCATCGTAGATGTAGGGCTGGGCAATAAATCGAAAATGTATCACTATCGAAATTTCTGCCTCTCATCGAGATAATTTTTCCCATGTCAATAAATTTGATTAAAAAAAAAAGGTGTGTAAGTTGGCAATGTTCATGTCCCTTTAAGAAGCTGTACCACCTTGAGTCACATAAAAATGTGATTCAACGTAATACATGTGACAGCCCCATCTAGTGAACAACTTTTGTTTCTGCACATACCTGTAGTTATCGTCCATTTATCGTTATTGAGGTTCAAATCCTCAATATATCGTGATATTGATTTTAGGCCATATTGCCCAGCCCTAAGTGGATGTTAACATCACCAACAATAACCAGTCTGGACAGCTTCAAGGTGGAGGATAGAAAGACACTAAACTCCTTAAGAAAAGAACTGTTTGGACCAGGAGGACGATAAACCATGGCACAGTAAAACGGGTCCTTATGCCCCAGAGTGCAAGAGAGTGCAAGCCCTTACCTCTCTTTTTTGCAGAGACAGTCTGGTTTTGGACTTGTGGCGTGGAGGTACATTCTTGCAGGGATGACATGCTGACCTCATGTTCTGACCCCTCTTCTGGCATACTGACATCTGGATCAAGAAATAACTTTATTAAAGTATACAATACACAAAATATGTAATAGCCGTCAGTATAGTGGTTGTTATTTTATAAAATAAGTATATGGAATTTGTGTCTCTTAAAGGGAGAGACGGAATTTCATTCTGTCTCCTATTCTAAATCATTTTCAAGTGACTAGTGAAGTAAAAATATTAATTGTCATGTTAGCCCAGGGATGGCCAACTTCACTCTTTAGGGACCCACATCCTACAGGTCTGAGATGTTTCCCTGCTTCAACACGCCTGATTCAAGTTAAATAGATCAAACAGCTTGTTGCCAAGCTCTGCACAATGAATCAGGTGTGTTGCAGCAGGGAAACATCCAAGACTTGCAGGATTGTGGTCCTCAAGCAATACATTTCCTCATATAGTGTACAGACGAAAGACTGTCCTACGCAGCCCACTAGTGCTGAAGTAGCTGTACGCCTCAAAGATTGGATGTTGGACAACATAAAATGAACTGATTTCTTAGGTGTGTTCTTACTGTGTCGTGGTTCTAATTCCATGCTTTCGTTCTTTTTTAAACACAGAAACTGTTTTGTTTACCTACAGTTTCACCGACGGCAGCCGTCGGCGAAAATGTAGCTACAAAACAGGTAAACAAAACTGTTTCTGTGTTTAAAAAAGAACGAAAGCATGGAATATGAACTGATTTCACCAGACAGCGACCGTTGTTACTGACATTACAAGTAGCGTTATAGTTAAGGTTAGTGTGCACTTACCTACTGTTTATAGGTTGCTCCAATCTCAGGGCACAGACTTCATGGAGAGATTGCATGGCTATTAAGACATTTTTTCTCCTCAATTCTGCACGAGTACACAGTTACAGCGAGTGGAGAACAAGTACATAGTTGAAGAGGAAAAATGTCAAGATGAAGCTGAGCGAGTTTAGTTCATGTCATCTAACCCGATGGCATACAGTATGCGTTTAAGCCAGTGATGAGGAGGAGGGGCGCAGCGGCTACGGACAAAGATGACAGTGAGGAGAGGGTTGGCAACCCTTTGTAGTGCAAATGCGGTCACTGCTCAGCTGTGGAGCAACAACCGTGGAGTCCGTTTGCTGCCATGAAGGAGACTTGGATAATGATAGGTATTTTTAAAATGCTCCTCTTTTTAAGTAATAAAATAATAAACTTGTGGATTAAAGGGTTTTTTCTTATCCTCAGTTGTTTTCAGTTAAAGGGCCTTTTTGTCCTCTTCACTTGGTCTTACAGGATGGTTACATTGGAGGTTGCAAGAGTGAGTGGTAACTCGTAGCTTTGGAAACTGAATTCCTGGCTGTCAGTCATAAATTAAGTAGCCAGCAGGTTTTGGCTTTCAACAAAAACTCTGTGACTTGAGAAATCCCCGCCTTAGACATGCGGTGGTTGGCCAAACCTCCTGACAGAGATTTACGGGTCTTTGTTTGGAAGACTGTGGGTGGAATAAAACAATTTGGAGTGCAGAGGACTGACCGAGAGCTGAGGTGTCGAGAGGCCTGGAACAGGCTTCTGGCGTGTTGGCTCTCCGCTGCTTGTTCTGACAGTGTAAAACCCTCTTTTCCTTCTATTATTAATGTTTGTCACGTGTGTCTTAATGTACTGTACGTGCATATAAATATATGTGAGTCCTTTCTTGTAATAAAATCCTTCTTTGAATCTATTTTTGTCCGTCTCTCTCACCCATGTATGAGGTAAACGTGATTTAAATTGTTCTAAATAAAACTAATCTTTTAATCTCCCCCTTGTGCAATCACAATTATTCAGCAGATAAATGTGCTCAGGGAATTGTCCTGCGTCACTTTATCGTGGACCTACCAGATGTTCTATAATGAGAGAGGTGTTTTGTAGCTATGCTATCCCTGCGTGAAGTCCACGCAGAGAGATTGAAGCAACCTATAAGCAGCAGGTGGATGCACGCTAACCTAAAAGTTAAAGCTGCTTGTAATGTAAGGCAGTACTAACCCAATGTTCAGTTTTAAAACTGGGGTTGTGTTTGACTGTGTTGATTGTGCAGCCTCTGCATCAGACAGGTCTCCTGACAGAGTTGCAGGAGGAGGAGGTGGTTGGGACAAAGGAGGGAGATGGGGTTGTTGATGCTAATTTTTGTCATGCACTGTGTGAAAATGCACCAAAGCTAAGAACTGCATTGAAGCTCACCTGTTGCAGACACTCTTTGGTTTTGACTTTCTGATATGGAGGTACATTCTTGCCTGGATGACATGCTGACCTCATCGTCTGACCCCTTGTCACCTAGCACACAGACATCTGGACATAAATAATTACTTGTAAGAATAAAATACACAAAACAGGTAAAACAGATAATTTAGTATCAATTTAAGAACATTGCATACACATACCTTCAATGTCCTCTGCTAAAGGTCCCTCCATGTGAATGGTCTAAAAAGATAGTTGAACAAATATTGGAAAGCTGAACTTGTGGGCAATCTGCAAAAGTATACAACTATAGAATTATTCTCTTATCCGGTCATCATTACTCTTAGGGCAGGAAATTAACTTTTTCATCCACCAGATTCAAAATTTTACTGGCCACTCAATGTTCTTAATGCCGCCTTTACAAGAAAGGATAACCACAGGTTGACTTGCAATAGTGGATATTTCATCAAGGGAAGGAAAAAGCATTTGGGCACAAAATCCTCGATAACTTTAAGTAAATGACGTGTTTTCACCAGCTCCAGACTAGTGAATTTCAACGCAGCAGCAGCGGTGATGTTCGCACATCCTTTCCTAATAATACCGCCTATCATGTTAACGTCATTAGCTTTATATATACACCCCCACACTAGCAGGCTCCAGCGACTAAAGTCTACGCTGTGGTGAGATTTTTTCCCACTCTGTTGAAGAACAAGAAGAAAATATCATTTCTATAGCGCCTCTCAAGATAAAAATCATGAGGCGCTTCACAAAAACAAAAACAAAAAATATAAAAAATTGTAAAAATATAAAAAAGCACTTAGAAAATGTTTTAAAATATATTTAAAATGAGCAAGAATAGGCAATTGCGACTTAAAAGAAAAAATGTTAAGAAAGAGAGAGTGTGACTAGGAAAGAGGGAAATCAGTGGATCCTGAGGAAGGTGGAATAGGTGGGGAGAGCCGAATAAAGAGAGAGTGGTGAAGAAGGTCATACAAAAGCCAGCTTGAACAAGTGAGTCTTCAGCTGCTTTTTGAAGGAGACCACTGAGTCCACTGATCTCAGGCTCAGGGGGAGAGAGTTCCAGAGTCTGGGGGCCACAGCAGCAAATGATCTGTCAAAGCTACAGCAATACTGCACCGAACAAGAAGATGGCTCTGCCTTCACAGGAAGCATAAAGGAGAATAGTTTGGAAAGATTTTTCCAACCAATACAGGTACAACTACTTATTTATCATAGATACACCGACAGTTATGATGCAGGAAGCCATGTGCTATTAGTTGTTTGCCACCACGCGTCCAGTGAAGAGCACAGCGAAGAAGACGTGCTGCTGCCTAGACTCTCCCGGTGTGAAAAGGACCGCTTTGAAGTTTGCGAGTAAACCGTTTCGCTGTCGTTTTGTGCCACTGATGCTTCCAGTGTGAAACTGGGGACAAGTTTTCTGGCGGCAGCATAGGCGTATCACTGCCCCAAATGATCAGTTGCATAACACATTTGAATGCGCTGTACTGCCAACATTACCTGCCAGGTGTGTGGCTTGATGATTGTGACCCCCCAATAAGCCATTTCGGTACTGCGTTGTGCGCAATGCATTCTGGTGTTTTGGACCCTAAACTGACAGAAGCGAACATACATATAGATAGGGAAAGCGGCAAAATTTATGATTTGAACAGTGGAAAGTTGTTGAACTGAAAACATATTCGCCTTAGAGGGCTGCCTGTGAAAGAACTAAGTGCACTAGCGTATGCAGCTACAGTGCAGAAACTACTAATTGTTTTGACGAAATAAGTGGCGTAGTTAAGGCTGATTATACCAGCTTTTGACATTTCATGGAGTGACAATCCCAGACCCACAAACGCTATTAGAAAGACTGGGAAGGAAAAATGTTGGCATGTAGAAGCGACCTCAGCTACTTTTCATCCCAGAGCTCATGCATTCAAGATGTGCTGTATCATAATATCGCAGGTATTTTCTTGCTTGTGAAATGTCTGTGTTATGGGTAGCAGTTAGCACCTAGCCTATGAGCTTTTGCCATGCTTTTAAATTCTTACAATTTGTATTCATGTATAGGTTTTTTACTTCTTAAAACCTGTAAGAGCCCGGATAAGGCTGTGATGCCCTGGCCGCCCACTGAATGGGACAAGCATGTATGCCCCCATCCTAACGGGAATGCATCCGTGAAAACAGAAACATGTGACATTGCACGACCAAGAGAGACTCCAAGCATCAAGATGTCGGGGTTCCCCCAGTGCTCCAGATCTCGTTTTACTGAGAGGAATGGGCAGCATATGTTGTTTGTGATGCAGCAGGTTTATCTTGAGATATCTGAACCAGCATTGGATGCGTGTCATATGTTGCAAACCAAGAGGAACTGCTATATGGCCTGCAGCCATCAAGCCAAGCAGCTTCATCACTGTAAGAGCTGTCACAGTGTGGCGAGGTTGCATGTGGCTGATTACGTGTGTTGAGACTGGGAGAGGTAGGCTCTCATGATGCTGGAGTTCAGCTTTATGCCCAAAATGGTGATCAGCTGTGATGGGATCACAGAACTTTTCTCCCAATTTATGGAGAAACCGAACATCCTAACGTGATTAGATGTTCTGTTAGTGTTCTCATCTGTGATTCCACGTCGGACTCTGAGGGAGCCAGAAGGAGCAGATAATCCAGATAAAAAGAACCATCAAGCCCACCGTGCGTAATGGCTGAAGCGATGTCTCTAGACAACTCTAGAAGGTGCAGGGAGAGAGGGAGTAACTGAACAGGAGTCTGTTGTACTGATATTGGACTCTGTTGAAGGACAAACACAGGAATTTCCTGTGTTTCGGGACCACTGGAATATGGAAATATGTGTCCCTCAGGTCGATAGAAGTTAACCAGTTGCCTGGACGAACGTAACTCTAAAACTGTCTCATGGTGATCATGCGGAAGCGCTTTTCCGCTATGAAGCGGTAAAGTTGAACAGGAACAGATCGTGGATGAGTCTGACACTTCTGGCCTTTTTTTGTAACAAGGAAATTGCGGGAATAGAACCCCAAATTCACCTCATCTTTTGGACCCCTCGAGATGGCTTCCTTTGACAGGAGCTCCTTCAATTCTGACTGGAGGGTGAAGAAGTGGTCCGATGAAGTCAGTCTCATTTCCACAATCCTTGAGAATGGAGGGGGATGGGACCGAAATTGAATGGTAAATGGCCTGTATATGATATTGTGTCTTCTAGAGTCCTGGAACCCCACAAGATGCTTTACAACACAATCAATCATTCTCACACACATTCACACCCTGGTGGTGATGAGCTACATTGTAGCCACAGCTGCCCAGGGGCACACTGACAGAAGCGAGTCTGCCATACATATGCGCTACCGGTCCCTCCAACGACCACCAGCAGGCATACCATACCATACCATGTTTATTTGTAAAGCACATTTAAAAACAGCATGACAGCTGTCCAAAGTGCTGTACTGTAGTAAAAAAGAAGGAAACGTAGGGTTACATTATATAAACCCCGGTTCTTTGATAACAGAGTGAGGTGTTTCACTATGGGAATCGCCCTGGCGTGACCAACTACGGAAGATAAAATGACATCACGTCTGTCCCTGACAGACTGGTTGCGCAGTGCCCAGGCTCCGCTCACCCAGTATATACATGGCCAACCAACCCCTCTTACTCATTCGGATGATTTCTTACCGTTAATGCAAGAAGGGAATTGTTGGTGAAACACCTCACTGTTATCAAAGAACCGGGGTTTACATAACGTAACCCTATGTTCTTTTTCTAAATTCATTCGGTGTTTCACTATGGGAGATATGGCCCACTCCTGGATTGCATATCCATCCCGAAGCGAGCTGCAGCAAAAACTCTGCTTAACCACTAAGCAGATGTTGTGCATCCTGCCTCCAGCACTGAATACGCCAGTGAAGGTTGAGACACATCCAGCCTGTAAAACCGCACAAAAGTCAGCGGCGTGGCCCAGCTAGCTACTGCACAAATATCCTGGACTGACACCCCACGAAACAGGGCCCAAGATGTAGCCATGCTCCTTGTAGAATGAGCCCTCACCCCCCAGAGGGGGTTCAGCACCCTTACACCTATATGAAAGGCTGATCGCTTCTACAATCCAGTGTGCCAGTCTCTCGCAAGACACAGGTTTGCCTTTATGGGCCATGGCCCAAGAAACAAACAACTGGTCTGATTTTCTGAGACCAGCAGTCCTGTCCATATAAGCCCCTAAAGCTCGAACAGGGCAGAGACAATGAAGTAAGTAAGTAAGTAAGTAAGTAAGTAAAGTTTATTTGTAGAGCGCCTTTCACAGATATAAATCACAAAGCGCTGTACAACATGAGTAAAATCAGGGCAAATACCTCTAACCAATAAAAACATCATAAAAACAATAGCAGTGACAATAGTAACCAAAATCAGGAGTAAAAACAAAGTCAAGGTGTGAACAAGAACAAAGCCATCTTTTAGAATATTTAGCGGGGAAAAGCCTGGATGAAAAGGTGAGTTTTAAGATGTTTTTTGAAGACCTCTACAGATTTCAAGAGACAGAGATTTGAAGGCAGACTGTTCCAAAGTCTGGGGGCAATAGACTGAAAGGCCCTGTCCCCTTTGGTTTTTAGTCTGGTTCGAGGAACAGCCAGGAGGTTTTCAGATGTGGATCGGAGGTTCCGTGAAGTGGTGTGTGGGGATAAAAGCTCAGATAGGTAGCTTGGAGCCTGGTTGTTAAGAGCTCTATAGGTCAGCACTAAAACTTTAAACTGTATTCTATATTATACCGGGAGCCAGTGGAGGGACTGTAAAACTGGGGTGATGTGAGCTCGTCTGCTGGATTTGGTTAGGAGTCTGGCTGCTGCATTTTGGATGGCTTGAAGGCGTGACAGGGAGGTTTTGCTGAGACCAGTAAAAAGAGCGTTGCAGTAGTCTAAGCGTGATGACACAAAGGCATGGATGATTTTTTCCAGATCTGCAGTAGAAACCAGTTTACGGACTTTTGAAATGTTTCTCAGTTGGAAGAAACAAGAGCGGGAGATGGTTTTGACGTGTGAGTCTAAACTTAAAACCGGATCAAAAATAACTCCTAGGTTTCTAATGTTGGCCTTGGCTGATGGGCAAAAAGAGGCAATTTCCTGCTCGATTTTTGGTTGAAGTTCCGGGGGTGCAGAGATCAGGGTCTCTGTCTTGTTGGCATTTAGAACAAGAAAGTTGCTGGACAGCCAGTTACTGATCTGGGTCAGGCAGAGTACAAGTGT